ATGTTCATCAAGTTTAATGATTCAACAGCTCCGCCCTTCGGGGACATGATTTATTCCACGGCTGACGTTGGCGTATTGACAGACATGTCAATGTTTAGATGCATAATTCTTATTACTTAAGCATCAAAGCATCCTGATTCAAGAGGAACAGGGTGTTTTTACACCTATCCTCCCCATCAGACTCCATCTTTATTATTTAAGGCACTTCCTCTCACTGCATATTCCGAATCACATCGAGAAAAAAGCAAGAAACAGTTTCTTTTCGTCTCTTTTGATGAAATGAGTGTGCATGTGGGGCCACTGAATTGGCATAATTACATCAGTTTAAATGCAAATTTATAGTGTGCTTATTAATTCTATTCTGCTCATTTCAAATGACTGACTGCACTTAATTAAATCAGATTGATTAGCCCTTTTCTAGACTTTCCCTTTACAACCACATAATTACAACAAATAGAGCCACTTGACACCAGATCTGCAGCGTTGACGGAGCTTTCTTCTCTCGCCTGTTCAGAGTCTTTCAGGTCCTGCTTTGGTTTCCACAGGCAGGTCACAAGGCCACATTATCCTGGATTACTGCTGTTTATTTTGAGGTCACCGAACTGTTGTTCAGTTCTTATCTAACCATTGGTGAAAAGATTACAGCACCCACACAGAGCACTTTTATCTCAGACACACCAGCTCAATTTTTGGACAGACTGTGCTTTATTGATGATATGAAGTTAAGTCTTTCCAACCTCTTGAATTGGGGCTTGGAAATATAAAAGATAATAGACGATGATTCATTATCAAAAATGTTTAATTGGATATGATTTCCTGCTGTTGCACACAATTATATAGTGACTCCTTTAAGGAAGAGCCTTCAATACCATTGGGTCCTCTTATAATACATAATTTGTCCTTCCTATTGGAAGACAGAAACCAGAAAGAAAACATCTCCTGATTATGGTCCTTATTGTCTAATGCAGTTGAGCCAGGTCATGTGAGTACACACAAAAATTAATTTAGAAAAGTTGTGATTAAGTGAATCAACTCTTTTGTCAATGCAGTTACTTAACTTGAATATTAATAATTCCCAAACAGTGATACTGGTGAGATGAAGACAAAGGGAGAATAATGAAGGGAGAGGGGGGGAAACAATATGCATAAAATGCATTCAAAGAAATGTAATATTTAAAAAGCAGCACCCCAGGACCTGGCAAGTTAATGGCTGAAAGGGATCCTGCTCCTCAAGTGTTTTTCTGAGCTTTGATTGCAATTTAGAGAGGAATTATCTCACTGGGGTGTGTGGGTGGAAGGAGGTTGGATCTGACTGTGAAGTGCGTGCCATTATCAAGATCTCTCCCCTTCTGTTTTCCCTCGTTCCCTTTGTCTAACTCTCTTCCCCTCTCCCCTTTGTCTAACTCGCCTCGATATGGTTGTTCTGCAACGGCAGCTTGACAGTGTCAAAATATTGGCGAGTGCCATAATACAACACGCTTATGAAGTATGATGCATTTGTGTTTGACGATCAAGTGATACCTGCATTAAAAAAAAAATTCAACTATTCTGAGGACGTGCAGAAAATCCTATAATATTTTGAGCGAGGACATAGATCCACAGATCTACACACACATCTGTTAGTCCATTTGCTGTCACACAAAAACGTGCACACACATATTGGACCTGTCTCTTGTCGCCAATGCACCCCATCAAGACGGGTTCATTCTCCACGTTCCTCCCCCTGCTCCTTCTACGCCATTGATTTGACAATCACTGTGTAATCTCGGGCTTAAATGACTCTTTTTATAAATGCCGTGGTCACAAGGGTCATGATATTTCCCCTTAATTACCGTGCCACATTATCACCGTAAAGCACTTTCCACCTCTCTCACACTTCTAATTACATTGTTCTGATTGCCGTGACACATCCTTTCATTCGCTGATGCACTCTGCAAGCATGTGAATGGAAAAAAAGGAGAGAAAGGGCAAAAGGGAGAAAGAGGGAGTGAGCGACACTAAAACCCACCGCCCTCTAATGCAAGCAAAATGTCTTCAATTAAATTCTTCGGATCAAGTCCAAACTCTAAGTTGCAACAGCTTTATTTGTATATAAATATGAAAACTGAAAATCGTTTTTTTAATTAAATTACACATAAAGAAAATAACAGAAAGAAAACAACAACGTGTCTCCTGATCTCAGCTTATTCATATTATAGCTGAAAGTGAGTCTTTCCACATTTTTCTTTTAATACGGCTGTATCACATTTTTCTCATTCTTCAGTACAATTCTGCAGAAATCAGCAGGAGAAGTATGACATAGACTACTGTCTGTACTGTGTGACTACTGCTGTAATGTTGCCTTTAACCGAAACAGTTGCCCCAACATTTTTCATAACAGGCAAAATAAAAAAAGTGTAACACAAAACAACTAAATCACATCACTGCTGCCCACAAAATGTCCATTAAGCTAAATCAACAAAAAACTAAAGATCACAACTTTCATAGAGAGCACTCTTGTAATTTCTCATAAACTGCCATTGATGTATTTTACACACAAGACTGTGGATTGGTCAATATGTATTTGTACGACCTCTTGGAATAAGAGAGGATTGATGTTTGAATTTGTTATCCCTCTCTTTTGATTTAAAAACAAAATAGCATGAAATTACATTAGACTAAAATGATAAACTTGTTTCTCTACAGTATATATTCCTGGTAGTTAAATGATTTTATGGTTAAGCAACTTAAAACTTAAATGTAGGAAAACACCTAACGCATCTAAAATGATTCCCTCAGGAGGCACTTCTGCACTTGCCAGGGGGTATGTTAAAAGATTGTGAAAAAAGCTCTGTAATTCCCCTAATTTTCTCCTTGAATAAAAAAAGAAACAGATTCTTTTGGTTTAAAAAATCTATATATGTGTGTTTTGGAGGGAAAAAAAATGTTTAACACATTACCGTCATTATAAGCTGTGATAAGCCTACTTCACATAGCTCCTACCAACATGAATCATACTTCACATATCTCCTACCAACATAAATCAGTAAGAAATTTTTGAATAGATTGTAACTGAAAACGGGTGGACACCATGATGTTTTCTTCAAAATCAACTGCAATACAATTAAATTAGGTTTATTTATGTAAAACAACAGTTGACCAAAATATTGAACAGGCTGAAAATAAAAAAATTATATATTTAAAATGTTGAGTTTAAATTGACAACATGAAGCTGGGCCTCACAGTAAATTAATTTTTGAGCTGGGACTCCCCACTTTTAAACACCCCAACTCCCACCACCATCACCCCATTTTACTTGTCACAGTGCTCACCAACCATTATGAGGTATTTTCCATTGGGAGGGTGGGGGGGGGGCTGCCGTTCCACCAGGTGGGCTCTCTGCTAAATGGCCGTCGCCGGCTTAATGTGCCCATTAAAGGCAGTGAAGTGGTGATATTGTCGGACAACCCTTTCCTGTGTGAACACGATGTGAACCCTGGTGTGTTTCCATCGGTCGTCTCCATTTCTCTTACACTGCTGCTCTGTCTCCCTCTTTAACCCGTCGCTGTGACACACTAACAGTGAGAGTCCAGAACTCTTCAACACTTAATGTTGAAGCCACAGAGGAGATGGAGACATTTAAGATAATATATCAATCAGTATATACCTTTGTGACGTTTGGAGAGAACCCACACACACACACACACACACACACACACACACACACACACACACACACAGAGGTGTATCTGTGTGTTGATGTAAGAGGGCAGGAGGAAAACATTTAAATGGAGGCTTGAGTGGTTTGTATTGAGTGGGGGTAAAAAAGAAAATCTGAGAGAGAGAACAGTCCTTTTCATTTCTGTGGACAGAGTTGAAGGATACTGACTAAAAGCAATTCTGGATTTAGTAAGGAAGCTAAATGTAAATAATGCACCTCATGCTAGCATTAAACAAAACCTGTTCTAATACTGGTCTACATTTATTTCTACAAAACACAGAAGCTTGTTATACTGTACATCTCAATAAAATTTGAATCTGTTTTATTTGCTTTACTTATTTTTTTTATTCGGTGTGCTGGCAATTTATTGTTTTATTTCAAAATAAAACACTTACTGTAATATAATGTTGCAATCTTAAAATCTCAAAGTCCTCACCAAAATTTCATCAAATCAATTTTTTTAAATGGATAAATATTATTGCCAGTTTAAATGTCTTAGTGTCAGCCAGTTTGGTTGTAGTTAAAGAAACATGGAGTAACAGAACTGTTTAATTTTGCATTGCAGTTTGTACTGGTTAGTGCAGTTCAAATTGACTGATTGGCCAATAATAAGAGAAAACAAATACAAATGTTGTCATTAATATACCAGAAAATAGATTTTAAAAGCTTAATTAACATTTAAAACAAAACAAAAAGTAACAAATACTAATAGAGTGGAAAATCTCCTACTTCCCCTCCTTTCCTCACCTAGCCTCCTACTTCCTCCTGTGGCTCCACCTCCAGAAGCTATACAGGAAGCTGGCTCACCTGGCTCACTTCCTGAACTAAGAGAGCTGCAGGGCGACCGCATGGTGGAGGCCTCATTTTTTCACGTTTGGAATATGAACATGACCAACGTGAGTTTGCTTCATTTCATGGTCCCATAGTGAACAGATTGGATTTGTAGTTGTGATAATTGCGTTGATGTTTAAATCTTTTAAGTAGTAGATTTAATTACATTTAAATTGGTATTTCTGCTGTCTTTGTTTGTTAGTTCACTTCATGGAGGATGCATGTATATTGGTCAAAATTATCCAGTATGTTTTCTTCCTTTGTTAGAAACCATTCCAAACTAATCCCAGTAAAAATAACCAGTGCAGTGGGTGATTGACAAACCTGTCTGTTTGTAATGGGCTGTTCTCTTGGCCTGTGGCAGTGCTCCAGAGCTACTTCAGAATTATTCCCATTAGTGAGTCACACAGTTCTACAATATTGTTTGTGTGCAGAGCTTTTTTTTATAATCTATGGTGCAGAGTGAAGTTAAAATGTGTTCATACAACTTGGTGCAATGACGATTTGATCATCAATGTTTTTCATTAAATTAAATTGCTTTATTGCTATTAATGTATTTGGCTTATACATTTGTTTGAATAATTTACTGAACCGCGGTTAGTTGCATGTCGGCTATTGCAGAGATCTCAGAATATTGAAGGATAACAGTTCAGTCCTATGATGTATTATGTTGTACTGTTTGAGACTGGGCACCATCAGTTCTATTATTTGCCTGTAACATTCAGTGCATGCCTGTTTTGGTTAATGCGCCTCAGGTCAAATACAATTAACCTAAATATTGACCCAGTCTTGTGTAGTTTGGTCGATCACATTTGACCTGAGGAAAAAGGTACCTAATTATCTTTGTGTTGGTTGTTTCTTTCTGTTACAGTTAAGAGTTTCAATTGCATTGATTTAAAATTAAAAACTACTTGTTTTGTTTACCTCATGGTGCTTGTGTGAGATAGTAATATCAATCTTTTAGGCAAAGAGAGGATTTAAATACATGAAAACTAACCTTTACTCATAGATCTGAATGAAGTGAATCCAGAATCATCAGCAACAACATTCATTCCATTACGACCGTTCCATTTCCATAAACTATTATTCCCCTTTGAAATGCAAAATAAAGGTATATGTCCCATGTTACTATAGCTACCATGTCACCGCTGATCATCCACACAACATGGGGGTGCATTACATATATTATTATGGCACAGGTAGTGTACAAGGTCACATATATGCACAATAATAACTAACTAATACAATACAAGACCCCACTTACCATGATGGCTTTTCAATCTCTGCGGTGATGTAGTGGGAGCGGGGCTGCGTGAAAGGGATGTGAAATGAATGGGAGTGGGTTGATGTGGCAGAGTGTGTCAGTTTGTCTCTGTGCGGTCGTGTGTGAGTGTGTGCATATTTCACATTGGAAGCAGCATAGAGGGGTGAAAATGAACAAAGGTGTGTGCGCCCAATACGCGTGGGTGTGTTCCTGCGACCTGGTATGAATGCTGTTTGGCCGTGCGTCGCTCTCAGCCTTTGACGACCTTTGCGTGTTGCCGCTGCGAGTAGAGTGACCCTGGCTGCACTCATTAAAACCAATGGAACGGATCATTCCTCGCTAATTGTTTTCCACTGACAAATGGCTCCTCTGACTCCTGAGGACTGCTGCAGGGGCCCTGCCTGCCTAGAGCACCCCGACTACACTAATGAGAACCGCTGGTCTGTGAGTGAGTGTGTGCGACTGTGTGCGTGAGCAGCAGTGTAAATGTATGTCTGTGAATGGAGTGTGTGTTTGTGTATCATGCATTTGAGCTGCCAGCCTCCCTCGCTGTGCACTGGCATGTGTAAAGTCAGGAACGCTGCTACATTAGGCTCAACATAAGCCATTAAGGAATTTTTCTCTTGTCAATCACCCTAACACCAAGGTATTGTTAACAAGTAAAGTATTCGATCTAACTGCTTAAAAACTCATTATTTACAGCCGGTATGCATTCAGTACAGTATAAGCTGAGTTTGGCAATCATTTGAGGGAGGTAACAGTAATTTTGCTCTTAAACACATTGCAGGTAAAAAATTTGTATTGTTTGCTTTAGAATGTTTGTTATTAAAAACCAGGTATGTTCCAACTCCTCATAAACTCTTGTCTGAATTCACAGTTTGTTACAGCTATTTTTTATGGAATAATCCTAGCATTTTCTGATCTGGCACCCCATCAACAGTATTTACATTATTTAATAAAGATAAATTATTATAATTTTCTCACTGAAGTTATAAAGTGTAAAAATTACAATAAATGTGAATGTGGGCTCTACAAATAAATGTAAGATTCTTCCTGTTGCACTGTTAAAATTGCAAAAATAAAACAGGTTTTTGTCCTGACATAGCTTTAGTCAAGATTAAGTTATTTTTAGCAACAAAAAGAACGTGTTTATAGTTAGGAAGTGATCATTGCCATGGTTAAATAAACCCTGAATTTACTGTAGGTAGGAAAACGGAGGCAAACAGCAGACGTCTCCCAAGTCAAAGTCAACAAATCGTGAAAAGGAAACCACAAGATGTTGTCTTCAAGTGTAAAATCATCTGAACTAATGCTTCCATCAGTGGAATGACACTATTTATAGAAAGATGACACTTAGTTAAGATTAGAAAAACATCAAGGTTTAGGTAAAACCACTTTATCATTGATGGTGTGAGACCTTTATCATCACGGTTACAATAATAAACATGTGGTGGAGATTATGAAACAATTAGGGTCATACTTTGAAAAACATGATGGTTGGAAACAGGAAACTCTCCTGTGTTGAAGTCCGATGTTTAACCAGCCCGGCTTCCTCATCTGCTGACTCTGACTGTAACAATGTCACACGATTTCCTGCTTTGCTCCAGATGGACATCAGTCTGCTAACAGTGCTGAAATGACTCATGTTGAGGACTGTCTTGTCTTTCCCGGTTTGGTCTCTTCTTTCTTCAACTTCTGGAATATTTCTACCTCTTTCTTGCTCGATACATTTCTCCACCTCTCCACACACGCGCACACACACACACCTCTTTCTCCCCCATGTCCCTCTCTCTGATTCCACCTGTTCAATGGTCCACTGGATCACTGTGAATCCTATTAGGTGACACCCCTCCGCAGCCCCAGCCCCCTCCCCAGCCACGCTACCTGGCACTAATCCATCAGAGGGGCAGTCAGGCTGTGCGCCACCCCGCCACCACCGATCCCCGCTACCCACCAGTGCCCAGTGCTGCAGCAGAGGCCCCAGCTGGGGGACCGCCAAAGCTCGGTCGTTATTAGATGACGGATAGCTTCATATCAGGTGTGTAAAGCGAGCGAGCGTAGGAGAGGGCCATCTGGCCGATGATTTGGGGGAAGTTGGGAAGTCGGGTCCGCAAGCGAGGTAGAGCAAGGTGGGTGATGATGATGGATGGGACCAGGAGTACTGCTGCCAATCACATCAACCTTTGGCAGCCATTATAAATACATTCATAAACAAAGTGTTTCATAACCACATGAATATGCAGGCATGGTTGGACAATAGCTGTTAATATTCATTTTTAAAGATTTATTTTGAGGGGTTGTATTGTATGCACTTTTAACCTCAAAGGGCTTTACACATTTTCACCCGTTCATACAGTGCATCTATGGGCAGCACCTTTTTCTGTCAGAAATAGAGGGATTCAGTGTCTTGCCAGTGTTCAGTAGCTATCCTCCTTCAAGCCAGTCTGTCTCTGCTTTAAATTTACCATGTTGTACCCTTTTTACCAACATGTTAACATTAACCACGACTAAACCCTCATTCAGAAAGGACCCGGTTTAGTCTGAGGATGTCTCGACCCCACACCTTCACTATGAAGACAGGACTTTGGGGAGACAGCTCTGTGCATTGCTTGTAGGTTTGTGGATCCCTACTGCTGTTCCTTTAGTAGTTTATCAAATGATGTGCACAAGGAAACCTGCAGGCAGGAGTGTTAGAGATATAAATGTCACTTTGTACATGGTGATTGTATATCGAGCATGGCCGAGCTCTGGAAAAGTTTTGTTCACTGATTCCATAATAACAATGTGGGAAAATGCCTGTGAACATCACCTGCATTAGACCTATGAGCTTCACAATCACACTTATTTACAGGTTTTGATTACATTGTCATACATGCACATGAATAAACAAAGGGTGTTCTGGAGCCAATGAAAACAGTGTGTCAGGAACATGCCTCTGTTTCCTGAGACAAAGGAATAACGTTAGGTGGTTAATTACTTTCTGAGCCGATGAGTAGTTTTATCACTTCAGCTCCACTGTACATTTGTTTTGCAAACATCAAGAGGCTCAGAGGATGATTCATCAATCGAGCGACATTAAAACAAAGGGATTAGCAAAGCTCTCGAAAGGACACTATGGAGGTAGGAATTACAAAGGGCAAAACCTCTGTGTAAAGGGAAACACAGTTATTGCATTTTTATAAGTGAGGGTATGGTGGGAGCTTCTGTGCAGTTTATTTCTTTGGGGTCAAAACTCTGAGCTCACTTTGGACTTCACTGTACGTCAGAGCGGTTAATGCTTTTTTCCTTTTCAGTTGTAGTTAGTATAAAATCCCAAACATACGGGAAGCATATCTGGATTATTAATTTACCCACGCAATTTGAAAACCCTCCTGAGATGTATTGTAAAGGTCTCATTGACTGAGTACACTTCCAGTTGTTAAAACATAGACCCGTTTGGCAAATGAATTCACTCCATCATCCCTGATGTAAAATCGGCTCTCAACTTTCAGAGGTTTTGCTCGCTTTGAAAAAAAAAAACTCTGTCAGACCGACAGCAACCGAACATTTTTCTGCGTCGTGTCTGTCTTCTTCTGGTCTGTCAACTTTTTCTTTTGTCTTCCCACAACCAGAGGGAATACAGGAGTGAAGAGAGAGGGAGGAGAAGGGATGGGAAGAAGAGAGACGGCGCAGGTTGCAAAGGGAGATGTGTTTTTCACATGTTCACATCAAATGCGCGTGGAAAAATACAGCACCTCAAGGGATTGTGGGATACCCTCCAGGCCCTAGCAGAGAGGCAACAACATATTATACATATATCTGCCATTTTGATATACACAGAGAAAATACAGAGAGAATATTTCTCTACTTATCACTTTTCCACAAGTATTTTAGTTTAGATGACGATCTGTTTGCTTGCTAGACGTGGAGTTTGTCCTGTTTCATGACATAGTGAGACATCCCTGCAGTGTGGTTATGATCTGTACGCTATCGTCTGCTCTGGAAGTTGGAGAGACTCGTTTACATTTTCATGGAGGGAGCTGCGGATGTCAGTTTTCGCCCACTTAGTTCTTCTCCTTTGCTGCGAGCCAGACGGTGGGTTGAATTCAATAATACCCAGGTGAGTGACAGAAATCCCTCTCAAGACACTGTACCTGCATAAGATACTGCACTGCAGCTGCTATCCCATCATGCAGCTCTGTTTCTATTCCTGCCTCCCACAATCCCTCTCCCTCTCAGGCGGGTGAAGAATATTGTTTTTTTGATCTAAACTTGATGTATTACTTTTTAGACTTTAGCCATGAGCTCTAGAATATAATGTGGGAATCATGTTTTATTTAAATATACATTTTGTGATAGATAACTTTGTATGAATCGCTTCAGTATTGCATGTCCCTGTGTGTCAGAAGCATGTTGATACTGGAGTGAAGCCATTGTACCGTGTGGCAGCTGTGTCCATCGTCAAATATTAAATGTGGTTAACAAAATATCTGCCTTTTTCAGTGTTACAAACAATTATCTGTGAAAGGACATTCAATAAAAGACATGTCCAGGTTTTTTTTCTCCCATGGACAGACTGGCACCCCCTTTTCTCCATCAATCCTGCATTTATTTCTATCAGAGATTCATAGAATATTCAATCACTGCTGACTCCTTTTTGGAAAATTCCAAAAGTTATCATTAGCTTGGACGTTATTCTCTGAAATATTTGATGCTGCAACCCATTTTCCACGACATATACACAGTGTGCACTAATAGGGCTGGTGTAATTACATACTTCTCATGGAGCTGTGGTCCGATTCATGAAAAGTGTACTTGAGTACAGTAATGAAGTAAATGTACTTTTTTACATCCCACTGCTGGCAGTTGTTTCTCTTCTTATCCAGTTGCTTTAGTCACCGGTGGTGTTGAAGAAGCTGATGGGCTGTTTGGCCTCAGGCAATGTTGATCCAGTAGCAGATAATTAGAGGGGTTCGATTGGCACTTGTTTTCTGTC